GGTGCATCCAGGCTTACATGTTGCTACAAAATGGGACAAACAAAACTTAGGAAGCATTTTATCTGAAAAAAATTTCACATAGGAAGAAAGATCGAAATAAGCCTGCACTGAATGCTCATGAACTTATTACTGGATCCTATAGTAAGCATTTCTGTCTCTCATGCATTCGTTCTGCCCTCCCCCACAACCCAGGATCCATCTTGTCCTCTGCATTTCAAGGTCAGTTTTGCATCATGAAAGGCTCTATGTGTTTTAATCTTAAAATAAAAGCATATATATAGTGAGATGCATATGTTCTAAAAATGTCCATGTTCCACGCATCACATCACTCCAGGGGTCCTCATCCCTACCTCTCTGGATATCCTTCTGTTCATTTTTCTTTATAGGAGGGAATTGTAACTGCACAAAATCTGTGCATGTCTTCCTCACAGAGTGGCTTCCCTGACGTTCTCCATGTCTCTGTGAATTACAAGTCATTATTTGTAATTTAGCAGTGTGCAGTCAATCAACTGAGACCCCAGCTCTGTGCCCATAAGCCTGCATTGCCAATGTGAGGGCAGCCAGCCTCCCAACTCAACTCTATGTCAAAGGCTATGGAGTCACAGAACATCTCAGGCCCACTACCAGGTGAGAGACAAAGAACTAAACTCTCTGGGATTCAGTGAAAGGGAGAGACATTGTTCAGAAAAGTGGCAATGTTTAAATTCATTTAATCTATAAAGTCAGGATTTTAAAAAATGTATAGAAGATGTAGAGAGAGATAGACTAAATAAGTAAGGATTGATGTATGAAGTAGAAATTATCTAGTTTTGCTTCTAAGATACCATGGTGAATGTTTCTGAGAGTTGCTTTATGTTTAACCTATATGTAACTTTTTACTTAGACAACAACTATGACAGCAGGCAAATTAGGTTGAATTCTTTAGAGTAACTTTGGAATCCAACCATCAGCTTTGGGTCTGCGATGACATAGAGTGGCAGTGACCCCACTCTGGCTAAATGATTTGAGCTCCAAGATGGCAGAACTTGGGCTCACACTTGAAGGAATATCCTTATGACATATTTTCTGGGGCTCAGAGGGATGGGCCAGACATCGGAGGCCTTTTGGGACAGAACCTATGGAATTTGAACCATGATTTTCCACAAGAAACTGGCTCAATCCAGTTTAGACAGACGGTATTGATCAGCAACACATTATTTATAAGCCTCAGCTGAAAGCCCTGCCACATGGCTCTGCCTCATGGAGACAGTGGTTAGTTCTGCATACCAAACCGTGCTTGAGACTTAACACCCTTCACATGTACAGACATACTCGGGAAGACACCCAGAGACACAGCCAACTCCTAGCACCACACATGTCCACACATGACATGTGCATACACAAGCACACATTAACACAGATATGTGCATATGTATATACATTTCTAATGCCCACCTATGAAACACACACAGAATCACACACTAACACATAATGCACACATACATGTAACCATAGGCACACACACGCACACGCACACACACACACACACACACACACACACACACATCTGCTCTCCCATACTCTCAACAAAGTACACACATCCATCTAAACACAGAAAACCACACCTATATTCACATACAAACATAGACATATGCAATCATGCATATACACTCCCTAATCTCTAAGGTGGCCTGGAAGCAAGACCTGGACAGGTGACCTCATGAAGTGACTTGACAATGCACCCCTGGTTCCCTCTTCCCTACCTTCCAGAGTTCCTATTGTCTGAGTCCTAGAGGCCAGCACGATGGGGCAAGCTCTCCTCAGGGACCTACCTCCTACTTGAGGTGAATACTCTCCCCACTGCACTTCTATGGCAGCTCAGATTGCTGAAATCACTATAATCCAGAGGTCTCTTGGTTTTGGAAACATGTCAGTCACCACATGTCACCCTCTTCTGTGTTTGTAACATCAGAGCTGACACTGTTTATACTTGCTGGGCCATGTTTTTTTTTTTTAATTTCTTGATGCTGCTATTTTATTTTGTGTGCTGTGTTGGAAATAAAAGTTATAAGTGGATTAAATGTGAGAGGTTTTGCTATTTGATTCAAATGATAATATGGGAAAACTGGTTTTACTGTCACCTGGACTTGTTAATTACATCCTATTAGGTTTTCTACAATTATTAATTATATGGAACTGCATTATCTTAAGATTGGGAGTTTACTTTCAGAATGTGGGCAATGGAGGAATGTTGTGTCAAGGGCAGTGTATTAATTGTAGTTTCCTTACCTTTTCTTACCAGGTACCGGTATGGCCAGTTGATTGAAATAAACAGCCACAGCCTATTTTCTAAGTGGTTTTCAGAAGTAAGTATTAAATGTTTTAATTATTGACATGGTCAGCCATAATTGGAAAACAGTGTCTTCTATCTTGACCAAACATTCCAAAAGCTTTTGGAAAGAAATAGGTGAAATGAGAAAGTCAACAGAATACCTGACTTATGGTCAGAGATAGACTCCAGAGCTAGAGCTCTTGGAGGCAAGCTAAATTGGAAAAAGAAACCCTCCAAGGTCATATCTCGGACCTCTGACTGGGTAAGGAAGGACACTCACTAGGTATTCAATAAGTACCAAATTCTGTGGTCTCAATTAGACTGTGGCTGGGCCATGTTTTGTGACCAGTATAGAGATTGCTCACTGCACTGTGAGTAATCATGCTAGGGACCAACACGGGAGGGTCTGGAGAGAGTCCTGTCTTCCTGTATAGAAGAAAGTTGACAGAAGTGTGTGAGAAAATGCAGACGAGGGTGGAGAGCTTAGTGGTCATCACATGAACCAAAGGACCCAAAGTATGTGGGATTTGGAGCTCTGGCCTGGCTTCAAGACTGCTCCTACATACTCCAGAGTGTTTGGGGCAGAGGCCAAACCCAGCAGAGTTGGTGGAAAACTTGATTTGTGTGTAGCTGCTATCCCCAGCAGGTCTCCCTCTAGGAGTCTCCCTCCCTCTCTCTCACCCTGATGTCAAGTTGTCTATGGTCTTTAATGCTGTTGAAGGCCCCAAGCGCTGTGCCTACCTGGCAGGGTATGTCATGTTAGTATGAAAACCAGGAAACAGCATGAGCTGATTGAATCATTAGTGCTGTCACGAAACACAGCAAACACTAGCAAGGACAGTGGCAAGTCTCTCTCACCCAGCCTACTGCCCACTGGTTCTGTGTAGACTGTGCACCTATTTCTTTGGTTGCAACCAGGAAGCACAGTGTGTAGCTGCACAGCATTGGCTGGATCTCTGTGAAGTCTTCTTTGCTATCACCAAGCAGCGCCAAGGGAAGCTTCCTCGGGGCAGCTGCCTGTGGACTCAGAAGCCTCATGGAATCATTTTGCCTGTCCATATTGATGAACACCTCCTGGCCTGGCTCATGTACCGAAGGGGTCTTCATCCATGTGTGGCTGTGACACAGTTGCTTCTTCATTTGGAAAAAGTGGTTTCCTGAGTTTCCAGCTGGTGATGCATTCCTTTATCAACTGTGGGTCATAGTTAGAGTCACTGCCAACTTCCTCGTAAAGAACTGAACTTTGGGAAGCTAACAGTGGCAGGCACACGTTTTCCAAAACTCCATGTTTTACTCGAAAGCTCTTGTCTTTTAAACTTTTAATTAATTTTTTGCTACCAGTTCCACGCACAAACACAGTGCACTGTGAGCATTCTCACTCCCCTCCCCCGTCCTCCACAGAACCCTTTCCTCTTCCTGACAAGTCTGCTCCCGACTTTCAGTCTTGTGGAGGGAGCCACTGCTGCGGTGCCATGACTGCAGCAGCACAGCATGTCTGGAGGACAGTTTGCGCAGCATGCCGCCTCCACATCGTCCCGCTTTTACAGACTTTCCTGAGTCGGGTAAGAGGTGTTACAAATGCCCTGTTCAGGGCTAAGAACTCAATGCTTATTCTAAGCGCTTTGACCAGCTACAAGGCTCTGAGTTAGCTGATGCCCTCTGCATGAAGAAGTGTCTCTGACTAGGCTGAGGGCAGCACAGGTCTATGAAAGCCATGGTCTTGCTGTGGATGACCACTGTAGTTTACCTGCCATCGTTGAGGACACAAAGACCCACCTGCCCAGTGTGCCCGTCTGAGTGGCCAGCGGCATTGTGTGTTTGGTGGGAGCACACCGTGCAGGCCTCAGATGTGACTGCTAGGTCAGTCGTAGTTACTGCATCTCTAGCTCTCTCTGGCAAGTTCCATCAACTGAAGAGGTGGCACCCCCCTTGTGCTCCTTTGGAGTTGCCAGGAAAGGCACTAGATGGACACTTGCATCATCATCAAACTGGGGCCGTGGTCATCAGCACTCCCCAATCCCAGTCAGTGTCACCTTCTTAAGGGAATAGGTGGGGGTTTAGAAACATCGCGGTCCCTCATGGAAGGCCTGGTCCTCCCTGGGGAGTGGATGGGGGGTGGTCGGTGGGGGGAAGGGGAGGACGGGAGGGAGAGGGAACTGGGATTGATATGTAAAATTAGATTGTTTCTGATTTAAATAAAATTTATAAAAATAAAAGAAACATCATGGCATTAAGTGCATGGGCAGTGCTGTTCTCTGGGGCTTTACCCCGTGGCATCGCTTAAGGCTCTAATCTGGTCATGTCTCCAGACCAAGAGCGGGCCTGAACTCTTTTTTTTTTGTTTGTTTTGTTTTGTTTGACAGTTTATTAAGTACAGTACATTTATACCTCATTTTTTTTTAGTTTTTTTTTTTAAATCATTCAAACATGGACTTGGTAAAAACATATTTTATAGAAAACTTAAGAAGAAAATCGGAACAACATATTGCACACAGATAACCTGCTGAATCATTAGAAGTTTTTACACGTCCTCTGTACAGGGATCAAGAAGAGTTAGGTGGCTTGGTTTTTCTTAAGTGATGCACCAGACTATGACTTTAAAAGCGTTGATAATTGTGATGCAGGTACAAAAAGCATCTGTCAAAGAAATGGGTTAATCATCTGAGAAATACTGTTTTCTTTCACAGATAGTTTTCTAAACTCATTCTTTATGACTCTCATTTCTCTTTAGAGAATTAGCTGTACAGACTGATGAGGCCCCCAAAATGATTTTCTTTAAAAACAAACAAACAAACCTACAGCCTATTTACAAAACATGCAAAAGGCGAGAGTGTAGGTGCCACTGCAAAACTGGCTGAATGCAGATCAGTAACAGAGCAGGTCCCTGTTTTCTGGAAGAAATACATTTTCAGGGCTTGGACTATAAAACGGCATACAATGCAAAGACAGAAACAATGGGGTTTGCAAATCCTTTATATTTCCAGGTGTTGAGACAATATATGTGAATGCTGAGGTTACCTCTAGCATGGAAACCAGAGCCAACTATCAAGCAGCCAGAATGCTACAGTAGTTGAATACATGACCATTTCTCTTTTAGCACGTTCTTTATTCTCCTCTTCTAGAAGTTGCAGACGTCTATTTAATTTGATAATCTGATGTCTTAGCGAAGCTGCATCCACCACAGTCATGTCGTCTGATGCTCCTTCAATGGCTGCATCTATGTTTGAAATGCCATACATGGAATCATTCCTGACCAACTGTCCATTCTGGCGAACAGCATTTTCACTCATGGAATGCTCTCTTTTTAGCCTGCCAACTGCTCGGATTTCTTCGTTTTGAGGAGTTGGAGGTGGTCTTTCTGAATCCAGAAAACCTAGTGGTCTCTCACTCAGGGTGAGCACCCGTGGTGGTGTTTTCAGTGCCAGAGGTTTAAAGGGAGTGGACTGGATAAGGTCAAGATCTGCTGGTCTTGAAAATGAAATGTCTTCATTATTTTCTGTGACAACGATCCTCTTTGGGACTTGCATTATCACACTGGCATTTGGAACTCCTTCTTGGAACCCTTGGTCCAGGTCAGCACTTGGAGGTGCTACTTTTAATTTTTCCGGGACCCTCATTCGCTGACTAATACCTTCGGTGTATTCCATTCCATACTGAATTCGGCTGATTTCTGCCATCTCAACAGCAGTGGGAGAAGGAAATGCTGCCCCAACCACCGAATGTGAAACAACGGGCTTGCTATTTGGCACTATCTGCTTCTGTACTTCATATTAAATCCTTAAATTGCTCCAATGCACATGTGCTAGATTGAGAGCCACTTTTGTCCCCTGGGCCCGCTGGAGGGTCCCTGGAGAGGGCCGCCGCCCGCCGGCTCCGGGGCGCTCGGGCGGGCGCTCGCAGAGGACATTGGCCGAGCGCACCGAGGCGCCCCGGTAAAGGAGTGGCGGAGAGGCCGCGGGGCGAGAACGTCCAGGACTGGTGGCCTGAACTCTTAAGTCGTGGGCAACTGTCAGGAAGGTCTGATGGACAGTCTTGCAAAGTACAGCTCACAGTTTCTTGTTTGGAGCACACGAGGAAAGCTGCTAGACAAGAAACTCATCAGAAAACAAACCAGGCCCCAGCGTACACATTTTGACTACGGATTGCTGCATATGTCCACCGTAGTGTATGGCGCTGTTCAAGTACTCTTGACTATCCAGAGCATTTGTTCTCCCTGGAATGGACATAACATTTTGCAAAATCACACAGCCACATCATTCTACCTGCCATGGGTTCTTGGTACCGCAGGTAACCATGGTGTCTAGGGAGGAGAGACAAGGACAGCTTCAGCTCCCTGGAGTGGGGCAGAAAGCACCGCAGATTGTATAGGAGGCTGCAGGAAATGCAGTGGTTGGTGACACCCTAAAGCTAGGACAGCCCTGCCCAGAATCTAGATTATCTCAGGTGTCTCCCAGGTTTCTCCTCAAGAGAAAGTAAGTGTCTGGTTTTATGAATAACTACTTTGGCCCTTTTGCAAGATGAAGACCATCTTGGGTGGAAGTGACAACACATTCATTGACTGGATGAGGATGTTGTAGATAGGCAAGGCCTGGCCTAGTCTAAGATTAGAAACAGATTCCTCTGGAATCCAAGTGAAGGAGATAGGCACTGTTTACTGGGAGCCCAGCCTCTACTGCCAAGGACACAGGTGCCTGGCCAGCCAGTGCCCTGCTTCGGGTCACCAGCCAGAGCTAGAGAGGTGTGTCCTAGGGGAATATGGGTTACAAAGCTTGGCCCGGGGAGCTGTATGCAAAGACACGGGGTGAGTGATAGGCATGAGGACAAGAGTGTCAGCGTGAGCCATTCTCCCTCACAGGACTCTTCTCACCTTTCTCGGGACAGCAGTGGTGGAAACTGAGCTATTTCTGGAACCATGCATGAAGCATGGCTGCTCATCTTATTTTCAAAGAATGTTTAAATCTTCAGTGAATGGTGCCATGTAAATTAAGTGCATATTTCTTTCATTAGTCATGGATACTGCTGTTGCTGGTCTGCTCAGAGAGCTCAAGGTGCCATTTGTCTCTTGTGGGGTGTCAAAGACACTGTACTTTGGCATGATATGTGTAATGTGCCAGGCTCCAGAACCTTCCAGACTGAGGGTTGTCTCAGTCACCTGTGGACTCTCCTTGTCACCCTGTACACTGTCTCTTCTTCCTTTGTCATATTTGTGCTGTGTTTCTCTTTTAAGACTTGCTTCCAGCATGGTGTTGCCTCAGCTTGTGGCTTTGTGGCTATGTGGAAGCGTTTGGCCCACGACAGTGGTAGCTTGCTTGGTATTGGACTCACGGGCATTTGGAAGGGCTACAAACCAGAAAATCATCACAATGCGTGGTTACCACCTCCTCTCTCATCTTTCTGTGGATAGTGTGACTGCATTTGCAGTCTTGTTCCCCCTAAGCACCGTCTTCCCCAAGTTGAACTAGTTACCTGCATTTTATTTTCTGTCTCTGGTACCCTGTATTCAGGATGCCTCGGTTCCTGTGCTTACTCTCTGGCCTCCGGAGGGCTTCTTATGTGTCTCTGTGCACACTCAGATGACCAGGGCTGAAGTCAGCTTCAAGGTGGAGTGCTGTCTGTCCAGTGGGTACGCTAAACAAATGTATCATCTGCTATGGGCTAAGGACCTGATAGGCATTCTTAAACAGACCCTGTTGAATGGCTTGGGATTTGAGTTTTACAGATGGAGCCAGTTTCTACTCTTAAGTTCTTTGGGGATGGAAAGATGTTGCAGAGGCTAAGAACACTGGGTGCTCTTGCAGAGGACCTGGGTTCAGTTCCCAGCATTCATATAACAGCTCACAACCATCTGTGTCTTCAGTTTTGGGGGTCTGGTGCTCTCTTCTGGCATTTGTGAGCACTGCACTCATATGGCACACTTAACATAAATGCAGGCAAACACAGCCATAAAATAAAAATGAACAAAAATTAAAAAATCCATTATTTAAAATAGTATGTATTCCTGCTTTTTCAATCAAAGTTCTTGTTTTGGGCATATTCCTTGTATTGCTTTAACAAGTGTGTAGTTAATGTAGTTAATTTTGACATTGTTCTAAAATATAGGATGGCCTTTGTAGTGAGACACATTTGGGTGGGAAGCTCAGCTCTCTAGCTGGAATTTAGAGAGGAACTTCCCTTGAGACTCCGTTTCTCATCTCAGCTTCTTGAACGCTGTGCAGTGGCTGGGGTGATGGCTGTGACGTGCCCAGGAAGTGTTAGAGGCTTGGTCTAGCTTTAATAAATGTTGGCTCCCTTTGAAGCAAATAAGAACCTGGCAAATTTGTTCTACAGCTGACTGTAAGTTAATTAATACCACCCTCACTCTCTTATCACTCTTAAATACAAAGCTAATTTGGAAAGATACATGTTTCTTTGAACGTTGCGTGGTTAAAAGCATTCGGAGCTGAGCTTAATTAAGAGAGAGTGGCTCTTAGCGTGCGATCACTGTGGCCAGAGACGGGAAACTTCATTAGATTATGGACTTTGCTCTCTTCCTTGGCTCAGCTGCTCCTGGACCAACGTGGTGGATTGACCCTGTGTGAACTCCTTACAGCTCCCTGTGGGGCCTGAGGTCAGGAGGTAAATGTCCACCAGGCAGTGGGGCGGAAGAGTAGGGGAAACAGCAATATGGCTCAGTTTCCCCATGGGACAGTCTAGTGGAGGTAACCCAGGACCTTATAGGACAGAGTAATATCCAGTGGCCACCCTCCCCCTAGGCTGAGTCTTCTGGCATCCTTGTGGTGTATAGGCTATATGGTGAATATGCAGTGTTTCAAGACCTCAGTGAGAGAAGTCTATGAATGTTTATTTTGACTCCTGGGGCCAGAATGGGGACACATAATCCCTAGTGGTGGGCTGGATGATCCCCTCTCATTGCCACTGTGTGTGGGAGGGGGCAGACAGCCAATCTTGGTGCTGAGAACTCCCACTTGAGAATCAAATCCTTGGGCTTCTAAGCATGCCACCCTGGACTGCATACTTGTGAGCAGTGGAAGGCCACGCAGTGCCGTATCCTCCTGTGGCCTGGACTTGACATGGGATAGATCCTCCTGTGGGATCTGAGGACCTGAGCAGGAGGCTATTTGGATACCCTGATTGTAGACTTGTCGAACTAGGGCGGAGCTTCCTAGGCCTTGGGTCCCTGAAGGAGCTGCTCGTGGGAGGCTAAAGCAGGCTAGAAGGACAGCCATATCCACCCCTGCCATGGCTCTATGAAGGAGAAGACGGCGTTCCTGTCTTCCTACCCATTATCCTCTACAGTTGCGGGCCTATTACAGACATGTAAGAAGTATGTATAGCATGGATGAAGGAAGCAGAGAGCCAGGGTGTGGGCAGGGGACCCAAGGCTTCATAAACCCAAGACCCCTCCTGCATCTGTACCATTTCCTGGCTCAGCTGCAATATGGAAGCAGAGTGTGCCTCAGTGTTCTTGTGTCAGCAGCTCCTGGCCTCTGATACAGGCTTCCAGGCAATAAAGAAAGCTCTTAGTAGGCAGGCCATGCTTGGATAAACTGACTGTCCTTGGATGTACTAAGTGCTGCCATTCACGCTTACCGTCGTCTACAGAATGACTGTCTGCCACATCCTCATATCTTGGTCCTGAAAACCTGACTGAGGAAATGAAGGGATGGAGAAAGAGCAGAAAAGCTGGGGTTGGGTGGGTCATGCTTGTTAGGATGGAGTGGCCTATACTACAACACCCGAAAACCTCTGCAAATTTGTTGTGTGCAGCAAGGGGAGGAGAGGTTATCTAGTCTCTATGGGGGTGGGGGTCTCTGGAGCAGAGAGGTCTTAGATTGCAGCGTCAGGGGCTGCAGTTGCTAGTTTTTGTACACATTGATCAATCATTTGTAAATACTCGCAATTGGCTCAGAGGAAGGTTCGCCCCAAGGAAGTTTCCGTGGGTCTGAGGCACTGGGGTCATTGTCAATAAGCCACGTTCGCTCTGGACTTCATCTACTTCTTACACATTCACTCAGAGCTTCCTCTGTTCCCCGTAGCCACCCACAGCCCACGGTCTCTCTGAGACTCTTTATCCCTGTGGAGACTATCCAAAGACACACTGGCCTTCCGGGTAGGCTGTGGGTGGGCTGGGTTCTGCAGGCTAGTCTTGGCCACTCCGTGCCACTTAACTCCTGTGGGTTAAACCTCTAGTCACTAGGGGATCTAGTGATGCCAGGAGTCCTGTGCTGACAAGCGGCCTCCTCCTGGCATCCTGTTTTGTTTACTCAGAGCGGCTTCACAGAACTGACTTTGAGGGGAGGAATGCGTGCATGTTGCTGTGTGTTTAGCAGAAGATTAATAGGTGATTTGTAACTCCTGTAATGAAAACATCACGCAGACCCAGCAAAGGGCTCCGTGTTGCTAATTTTCCGGCTGCTAATTGCTAGGGCATACAGGTTCTGTTGTGAAATGGAGTGCCATCTGTAAGCACAGCCACATTTATTAAAATATAATTGCTTTTCAATTTTTTTTTTTCAGAATGAGGCATAGTTCAAACAAAGCAGCGCCTTTGTGGGTGTTGATTTTCCTGGCCAGTTCAGGGGTTCCGGTGGAGCCTCCAGCTTCAAACCAGCAGGACTTGGCAGAGCAGCATTCTCAGCTGTCCTGGCTTCTGTTGGGCTGCTGAACCTCCAAGGATGTAATGTCTCTCCAAAGGTCTTAG